GAAAGCCGAATTAAACCATTTTTACAAAAAAGAGGAAACCATAGAGAAAGGGTGGGAGTGATGAGGATCATGAACGAAGATGTACAGTATCAAGTTATCTAATTCCCTCCCGGCTTGTTTAATGTGAGACCAGTTTTAGCATTTGTAGTGATTTGTAGTGATTTTAAGTGTATCATCAAACGTTTTGTTTTGGTATTTATGGTAATTATAAATGACAGAACTTTGCAGGAAAACATATTGCACACTAGCGTGTCATATATAACGACGATAAACGTCATAACATAATATATTAACATCTACATCTACCTTTCCTACGTATATACATTCCTCATACCGAATATAACTCAAATAAAACTTTTTTTCTCATTATCTACAGTGCAATTCGTCGAGTGTAAGAGCCATTTTGATAGCGTGACGTCGCCATGTCTACGCCAACAACAATAATATCGCAACAAGCATCAACATCCATTTTTCTGACTAGACAATGTGATATTGCCATGCAAATATAGATATTATATAAAATAAGGCCGTTCGGGAAAAAAGATCAACATCGTCCATATAAGGGTACACATAAAGTAATGTTGTGGTCAGGTATTGCTATAATTATGACGGCTAAGAATATACTAGGGTTTCTTGCGTTATGAATGTAACCGAATTGCATTTATATCATCATGAATGTACTTGGTCTAGCCCGATGTTAACATTTTATTTTACCTAAACATTTGTATAGCCCGGTGATAGTATGTTATTCCACATCACATGAATGTTTCTATAGAAAAAGGACTTTACCTTTAAATATCCTTTTTTTATGTTTAGATTACTCAAAGCTGACCCCATAGATAGAAACTAAATAACGACAGGTATGTCGTACTGAAGAAATAATGTACATGTCTTTTCACTCGGAAAATGAAATATATAGATGTTTCCCGTGGGTTGAGCAAAGACAATCTGACAAATTATATCCGGGTTTGATGGTTACGTGGTTTCATTGACATCGACAGTGAATAATGTGTTCTCAAAATCAAATCGCATTTCGTCCGAACGAACGTAATGGTACGAATCATCTGGTGTGCGTGGCTTAATTGAGTATGTAAATCGCTGTCAGATTCGCTCATGTAACAAAGATCACTCAATGTACGGCTGTATTCGGTAAAATTTGTGTTTGTTTGTTAGCAAATCTAAAAAATAACGACCAGGATAGCTAGGAAGCAGATATAGATGATCTTATTTAAAAGTCTTCTTTTAAAAATTGGCAAATATTTAAAAAAAACCCTGTAGTTTTATTAATCCATAAAAAAATATTCGCGATTTGTTTGGTCGTAAATTATCATATACTAAAACATTTTCTCTGAAGTTAAAACTCGTTTAAAAAACGATATACTTTTCTGAACTTTAACATATCATTGTCTAAGATTTACAGCCTTCCAAAGTTGAATCATGAAATGAAATTCGAACAATCGCAATTTCAAGCATATTTTTACAGAGATCGCCATCTTGCGGGAGTTATTTTTAGGTCTAGTTCACGCGAGATCTTGTGATGGCAGCCATTTTCAAAAGTATGATTAAAATGAATGGATATATTTAATTAACGACAACGAGTAGATTTTTTCCCAAGAAAGTCTGTCAAGTGGTTGCGAATGACATAAAATATTGACTGAACGTTAACTAGTCCCTGTGCCCAACGAGAGTTTGAATTGTACAGATTGTGAGTCAAACTAAAGTGACATCCAGGGTCCGGAATTCATTCTTTAAAAAATAAACCCGATGAAAAACAGTAACAAAAGATAAAAATTGGATTAAATTGATATTCTCGTAAATGTCCACTAAAAAGGACAGTTACTCGGATTTAAATCGCCACTACAAGAACATTTTGGTGTTTGTGAAGTGTATAGAACGTGCAGTTTACGAGGACTGCCTATCAACGAAACCTTACACTTTTCTCATATATATATCTGACGCAAATTTCTCGAGAGATAATTATTTTTTTAATGAATTCGATGTACTGTATCAAAAGAATTAAAATATATCATCTTCTTGTACTTAAATACATTATGAAGCTCCAGCTATATATCAAATTACATATTATCGAAATGCGCCGTAAAACTATTTATAACTTATCAATTTGCACTTTAATGTTCGTGAATTCAATATAGATGAAATATAGTGTTATTTGTAATATATAGCTAGAAAGGATTGAAAACATGATAGACGAAGGAGTGTTCTATATGGAATATATAGATACATATATACGCTAATGAAATTCATCATTGATATATACGTGATTGTGAAAACCAGTTTACCACGTAATAAATTGTCTTGTCTTTGTATCTGATAGTGTCTTTTTATCATGCAGTATTTGATTGAACCGTAATAGATTTTGTCTAGTAATGTCTTTGATTGAGTCTTAATGTTCGATAGTGTCATAGTATCTAAAAGGGTCTTATTGTATGGTAATGTCTTACCGACCGATAATGTCTGGTAGTGTCTTACTGTAAGTGATGTCACCCTGATCGATAATGTCTGGTAGTGTCTTACTGTTAGGTGATGTCTCCCTGGTCGATAATGTCTGGTAGTGTCTTACTGTAACGTAATGTCTCCGTTATCGATAACGGCTGGTAGTGTCTTACTGTAAGGGGATGTCTTCCTGATCGATAATGTCTGGTAGTGTCTTACTGTTAGGTGATGTCTCCCTGGTCGATAATGTCTGGTAGTGTCTTACTGTAACGTAATGTCTCCGTTATCGATAACGGCTGGTAGTGTCTTACTGTAAGGGGATGTCTTCCTGATCGATAATGTCTGGTAGTGTCTTACTGTTAGGTGATGTCTCCCTGGTCGATAATGCCTGGTAGTGTCTTACTGTAACGTGATGTCTCCCTTATCGATAACGGCTGGTAGTGTCTTACTGTAAGGTGATGTCTCCCTTATCGATAACGGCTGGTAGTGTCTTACTGTAAGGTGATGTCTCCCTGATCGATAATGTCTGGTAGTGTCTTATTGTTAGGTGATGTCTCCCTTATCGATAACGGCTGGTAGTGTCTTACTGTAAGGGGATGTCTTCCTGATCGATAATGTCTGGTAGTGTCTAACTGTAAGGTGATGTCTCCCTGATCGATAATGTCTGGTAGTGTCTTACTGTAAGTGATGTCTCCCTGATCGATAATGTCTGGTAGTGTCTTACTGTAAGGGGATGTCTCCCTGAGCGATAATGTCTGGTAGTGTCTTACTGTAAGGGATGTCTTCCTGATCGATAATGTCTGGTAGTGTCTTACTGTAAGGTGATGTCTCCCTGATCGATAATGTCTGGTAGTGTCTTACTGTAAGTGATGTCTCCCTGATCGATAATGTCTGGTAGTGTCTTACTGTAAGTGATGTCTCCCTGATCGATAATGTCTGGTAGTGTCTTACTGTAAGGTGATTCTCCCTGATCGATAATGTCTGGTAGTGTCTTACTGTAAGGGTATGTCTCCCTGATCGATAATGTCTGGTAGTGTCTTACTGTAAGTGATGTCTCCCTGATCGATAATGTCTGGTAGTGTCTTACTGTAACGTAATGTCTCCCTTATCGATAACGGCTGGTAGTGTTTTACTGTAAGGGGATGTCTTCCTGATAGATAATGTCTGGTAGTGTCTTACTGTAAGGGGATGTCTTCCTGATTAATAACGGCTGGTAGTGTCTTACTGTAAGGTGATGTCTCCCTTATCGATAATGGCTGGTAGTGTCTTACTGTAAGGGTATGTCTCCCTTATCGATAATGTCTGGTAGTGTCTTACTGTAAGGGATGTCTTCCTGATTAGTAACGGCTGGTAGTGTCTTACTTTAAGGGGATGTCTCCCTGAGCGATAATGTCTGGAAGTGTCTAACTGTAAGGTGATGTCTCCCTTATCGATAATGTCTGGTAGTGTCTTACTGTAAGGGGATGTCTTCCTGATCGATAACGACTGGTAGTGTCTTACTGTAAGGGGATGTCTCCCTGAGCGATAATGTCTGGAAGTGTCTAACTGTAAGGTGATGTCTCCCTTATCGATAATGTCTGGTAGTGTCTTACTGTAAGGGTATGTCTCCCTGATCGATAATGTCTGGTAGTGTTTTACTGTTAGGTGATGTCTCCCTTATCGATAACGGCTGGTAGTGTCTTACTGTAAGGGGATGTCTTCCTGATCGATAATGTCTGGTAGTGTTTTACTGTAAGGGGATGTCTTCCTGATAGATAATGTCTGGTAGAGTCTTACTGTAAGGGGATGTCTTCCTGATTAATAATGTCTGGTAGTGTCTTACTGTTAGGTGATGTCTCCCTGATGGATAATGTCTGGTAGTGTCTTACTGTAAGGAGTCTTCCTGATGGATAATGTCTGGTAGTGTCTTACTGTAAGGTGATGTCATCCTGATCGATAATGTCTGGTAGTGTCTTACTGTAAGGGGATGTCATCCTGATCGATAATGTCTGGTAGTGTCTTACTGTAAGGGGATGTCTTACTGATCGATAACGGCTGGTAGTGTCTTACTGTAAGGTGATGTCATCCTGAGCGATAATGTCTGGTAGTGTCTTACTGTAAGGGGATGTCATCCTGAACGATAATGTCTGGTAGTGTCTTACTGTAAGGGGATGTCTCCCTGAGCGATAATGTCTGGTAGTGTCTTACTGTAAGGGGATGTCATCCTGATCGATAATGTCTGGTAGTGTCTTACTGTAAGGGGATGTCTCCCTGATCGATAATGTCTGGTAGTGTCTTACTGTAAGGAGTCTTCCTGATGGATAATGTCTGGTAGTGTCTTACTGTAAGGGGATATCTTCCTAATCGATAATGTCTGGTAGTGTCTTACTGTAAGGTGATGTCTCCCTGATCGATAATGTCTGGTAGTGTCTTACTGTAAGGTGATGTCTCCCTGATCGATAATGTCTGGTAGTGTCTTACTGTAAGGAGTCTTCCTGATCGATAATGTCTGGTAGTGTCTTACTGTAAGGGGATGTCATCCTGATCGATAATTGCCGGTAGTGTCCTCATAGCAGAGTTTTAAAGATTGATAATTTTATACTGTTACCAATGTTTGCCACCATTTCCTTTGATCCAGCAATGTAAGCCACCATTTCCTCTGATCCATTAATGTTTGCCGTCATTTCCTCAGATCCACCAATGTTTGTCATCAATTCCTCTGATCCACCAATGTTAGCCATCATTTCCTCTGATCCACCAATGCTAGCCATCATTTCCTCTGATCCACCAATGTTAGCCATCATTTCCTCTGATCCATCAATGTTTGTCATCATTTCCTCTGATCCATCAAGGTAAGCCATCATTTCCTCTGATCCATCAATGTATGCCATCATTTCCTCTGATCCATCAATGTTTGTCATCATTTCCTCTGATCCATCAATGTTTGTCATCATTTCCTCTGATCCATCAATATTTGCCATCATTTCCTCTGATCCACCAATGTTAGCCATCATTTCCTCTGATCCACCAACGTTTGTCATCATTTCCTCTGATCCATCAAGGTTAGCCATCATTTCATCTGATCCACCAATGTATGCCATAATTTCGTCTGATCCACCAATGCTAGCCATCATTTCCTCTGATCCATCAATGTTTGCCATCATTTCCTCTGATCCATCAATTTTTGCCATCATTTCCTCTGATCCATCAATGTATGTCATCATTTCCTCTGATCCATCAATGTATGTCATCATTTCCTCTGATCCACAAAAGTATAAGTGACGGAATTTATGCATTGGTGAAGTTTTCGTGTAGGAAATGAAAATACAAAAAACATTCAACTTCATAAAATTTTATTTTTTTTTCTCCATCAAAACCATTAAATGATGTCAAAATATCAGCATTTTTATGAACACGTTGTAATCAATACAAAGGTGGCAGTCAGTGTTTTAGCGTGTGATAAATTTACAAAGTAACAATAGGTCTGGTATAACTATGGTATACAGTAGAACAATCACACATTTCCATATAAGGGAAAATTGGCTGATCCATTGTCAAAACTTTACATACTTATAAAGCGTGCTGCCCTATATAACACGAAAGCTCGGCAAGTTCACATTAGAACTGTGCTGTAATATTACAATAAAATTGTGCTTGTAATCGCCAAAATACAGGTTCTTACTGTAAATTACCAAATAAAAATCAAAACAGTTTGTCATACTAAGAAATTGACTGGTTAGACAGTTAACGATTATCACTGGTCAATGAAAGCAATTAACGAGATCTGCCAGTCAATTAAAGTGACCTACTTGTCAAACATGGCTGTATGAATTAATTAGCGATAGTCGATTGGACTTTGTAGTTATACAGCAGTAATGTTTCGATATGTGGTGTAAGACGGATGATTTTTCAGGGATATGTAGTAAACAGCTTTTTGTTACAGATCTCCGGCTCTTTTTCAGCTTTCAAATATGTTCTGATTTCGGACAAAGCATGAGTACAATAGTTCAGGATGTGGCAGAAGAAAGAAAGAATATATTTTTTAAAATATGACCCCAATCAATGATCCAATAATTCACGACTAATGCTCTGACAGCAAGGGAAATAACTCTGGATTTGATAAGACAATACTACAGTGTAGTACTAAAGGGATCTTAAGGGATAAGTAGCAAATTTATGGATGGTCTGTACCCTTTAAGAACATCAAACTATCTTTCTTGTGGTCATTTCGGACACACTTTTTGAATTGTCACGTGATGATTTTGAAACCGAAATCAGAAGCACAATGTTCGGACCTAGCAACAGTCTCACCAGAAGTTACCCGAGTCCATTTAGTCGCCCAATTTGTTTGCAGTGAATTGCGCAGGTGCAAACTACAAGCAAATACTTTTTTTTTTACAACATTTATGAAAGAAAGGCATCAAACGTAATCTGAACTTGTCCAGAACATCCCTTTGAAGCAATTTTGAAAAAAAAACCACCTTTTAAAGCGCTGATATCAATGGAATACTGTAAAACTTGCTTATAAAGGCCACAAACGACAACACAAAAAGTGTCCTTTATACAGTGGGTTCCTGACTGTATTACACAGGGACCTGAACCAATAGGTCTCTATAGACAGGTATGAGTCATACGCAAATGACTTTGAAAGCAAGTAGATGATTGGACACTAATCACGTTGCAAAAGGTTCAAATATGTCGCCAGGAAAACATGGAATACATTATCACAAAGATATCAAAGTCTGCTTTGTTTCCCCATGGTTTTGTGAGATCTAAGTCATATTTCTTAGAATATACAACTTAAAATCACTGTGACAGAATTCACGAAACTGCAAGTTGCAATGTCTTTGTAGTAAATGCAGAAATAAAATACGTGTCTATTTAATAGTATTTAATAGTAGAGTTTTTCTAGAATTATTCTAGAATTTCCCTGGGTATTCCGGATTCTTTTCAAAGTAAGACCCCTCTCACGATTAACATAAGCTAATTGATGTAATATAAGTTTATATTCCACTCCATTCAAAGAATATATGAATGATTCAAGCCCACGTTGACTTTTCATATTAAGCAATGGATAGAAAAATATACAAGGACACAAAAATGTCAGTAAATGTGATATCAAGTATCGTCAACAGTACGATATACTAAAAGTATGTCAACAAAGGCGGGGTCTCATTTTAGTGGCGACCACACTCAACAACATACGGGAGGCCCGTCCTATAGCATCTAGATTTATTATACAGTCTGGTCCGTGTCTTGCCTTCTTGCGAAATACAAACCAAACGGCCAGGGAGAGTCGAACCACATGCCTCGCATATTAACCAGAGGTTAAAAAGCCAAGCGCTCTACCGACTGGGATATTTGGGTCTCCTTTTAACAGATATAGATATACGTCAGAAATGAAATTAAGTTAACATGGTCACGTGATACTCATTATTCAAAAACGCAATGTGATGCATCTTCGACGTAAATAAGGTGATGATAATCAATGACACGATAGAGAAATTTAAATATATAAGCAAAAATATATATATTCCATGAAAAAAATACACGCTTGACAGATATTTGGAGGTATACACAGAAACTTCCATATTATTATCACTCAAATTGGGGAGGGAAAGGGGGCATACTTGTACCGAGAAACACACACTGAGTAAAATATACAATATTACTGACATTAAGATATTGTTAGGGAACAAGGCAGTCGGGTGATAACTAGCGACATCTTTGCTGTCAATTCGCCTTCCAGTAATAGACAATGTCGACGCAACAAAGTCCTCCAGTACAAATCATTTGCCAATGGCAAAGAAACTGCAGATCTTTGGAAGGTTTCACCGCGATTTCTAAAAGGTTCCCCAGCGGTTATATTCTTTCAGCCGCAAGCAATCTTTTTAGCAGCATATGAATTCAGCAGTGATCATTTCTCAAAAGCAGAATTAATAAGAAATTGATTTCCACTGTACATCTGTTTCAGCCAGATAAATATCATTAAACTTCAGCCTTCTGACGACCTGTATACAGGATCATGAATACAGCGTGGTGTCCAAATTCCTACCGCGCGTTACAGCATCAATTTATCTTTATCATTCAACAAAGTCGTATAAGCCCTTTTCTCTCAAAATGTTTTTATCGTTTCCATTTATCACTATATTCTGAAGCAGCCTCATTAACTAATGTCTCCGTTTTGTCATTCTTCTGCACATGACCTTGGCAGCAAATGCAGGAGTTTTCTTATATCCTTTGCACGTGCTTTGCGCCGACGCAGCTTCGCCTGTTTCCATGCTACGATGAAAGCGTTTGTTCGCGGGGAATGGATTGGTTATGAAACTCATCCATTTTAATGTAGTCTGATTATGTTTGTGATTGATCGCCTGTGTGTTACCAACCAGTGACCGCACAGTGATCGTTCATGGAAGTTTCACTGCTAAGTGAACACCAGTCGGTCACAACCAGTTGGAAGCCAACCATAGTACCGGAAATCAACTGCAGACGACGAAATCAGCCGAAGTGAAAAAACATACTCCTGATTGGCTGATATTGCTTGATAATGAAATCCGAATGCCAAATATGGGTACATGTCAGTTGTACATCTGTATTATCAAGGAATCTGTATCAAAGGGACAAGTATTGGCTGAGACTTCAGCCAATGACTAGTCAAGATATCATGTAAATATAAATAAATAAATAAATAAATAGATAAATAATGAATAATAAATAAAGGGGAGAGAAAGGCCAAGAAGACCTCCAATAGTTAAATATATATGATATTCAATAGATAATAATTTTACAATTTTCATAAAAGATCACGACATCCGAAATATATTAAAGAAAAACGATCTATTCTCACAATGGGATTGACATCGAAAAGGTGTTTCATCTTTGGAAAAAAAAAAAAAAAACAACGAATGAAAACGTCAATTTCATTTGTATAGTTAAGAATGCACATGACTGGGTGTAGACAGTCATTTTGAGATGGGACAAAATGGTGAATTCCCCTGTCAAATCTGATAAAACGATCTAACATCCCTTGTTCCCCAGACAACCTGCAGTATTTGAGTGATACTGGGACGGAAATACGTTTTGACACTTTTTTTTGAAAGCTCACAAGCATAATCTCCAAACGCTGTTTATGATACCTATAAACATCTTTTCAAAACGATACTGATACTTATAAATTTTGTCCCAATGAATGCAGTTTGTTCTGAGACACAGTCAGAAAGTATTTGAATCAAAATTCCTTCTCTTAACGTAAGTCTGAAATACAGTTTCTACATCGGTGTCTAAACACAAAAAACATGCCGTCCATGATAGCACCTGTTCCGGGCCCAGGATATTTACACCCGATCTTTACAACCGTTATTGATATTTTGCTGTATTTATATTGACTTATACTCAAACACATACTCTGGAATGTAGTTGTTATCAACAATAAAATAGAGCGACGGAAAGTTAAAAAGTTACATCCGCGGCTTTCACAGGTTTTATGACCAGTTCTAGACTCGAAGACTCAAACAAAACACCACTGATGTACCATGTTCTTACAAATGCAATCCTCAAAACGTCCGCACAAACCATTCGTACGTGAAACCCAAACGCCTAGTTTAGCATTCGTATTGTCTCCTCGTCAATGGAGTTTCACATGTGTCGTGCCATTATGACGTGTTTAGTCGGGGGCTTACTAAATACAAGTCCCCATGTTCTCAAGCGCCTGTGGCGATGACCAACCAAGGACAAATACCTCCTAAGCTCTAGTCCCGCAGGCAATGAATATCGGAGACTATCCCTTTTCTAAGTCCTTTACTGTCCTCAGACAGGAAAAGCAGCAACAAAGAAACATGGCCAACATGACGACGATGCCGATAACGATGTGACACACGACGAGCTGCCAAAATGTAAAGGTAAACACGGATCGATCACACCAGTTCTTAGGTTCATGTAACGGCGGCTGGAATTTTGGCAGCCATGTTTCAAAAATCCAGTAGTTACCAAATACAAACCATATACTGAGGAATATTGTTAAACCTATATTCGCCATTTTGCTCATTGTCAATAGTTCATTTTCGTCGTGTAAATCCTCGTCATCGTCGTCCTTGAGTCTGCGGATTTGATGACAGAGTGACATCAGTAGCTTGATTGTTCCGAAGCAGCCTCCCACTAAGAGATAGATAGGGATCTTGGGTTCTTTTGGACATTCGTCTAAGTACTTTACTCCTACAAATGAAACAATAAAGCAAGCCTTACTCACAGATTTAAATACCACATGGCAATATAGTTATCTTGGGCTAATATTTGTCTAATTCGTGGGTTACTACAGAAAGCGTGAAAATTCAGTCCCTGAAATAACGACAAGCGTAAAAACTTAAAATGAGTATCTAGATCTACATCTGTCGTGAAAACAATTTGAAGCATATATCTCACAGAAGGTATCACAAATCTGTGACTGCTTGAAATTTGCCTCAATAGGGCATACAACAAATATGTTTACAAATCGGCGAAGTCATCCGCGAAAATCCACGTCCTCCAAATGTCAGGACCCTATATAAGATTTTGCACGACCTGCCTTTTCAGGACTCTACTATAAATAATGTAACGATTTGTTTTTCTTTTGCAAATATTTTGGCTCAAAATCTGTTGTTTCGATTGTCTGTTGATAATAACATTCGCGGCGTTATTTTATTTATATTTTGCAATCGTTACAAAGAGTGTTATATTTAAACACAGAAAAAATGGGCAAGCATTATAATCGGTCAATAGAGTTGTCATTATGTTCTCTCTCTCTTTTCCTCCCTCTCTCCCTCGTCTCTCTCTCTCTCTCTCTCTCTCTCTCTCTCTCTCTCTCTCTCTCTCTCTCTCTCTCTCTCTCCCTCTCTCTCTCTCTCTCTCTCTCTCTCTCTCTCTCTCTCTCTCTCTCTCTCTCTCTCTCTCTCTCTCTCTCTCTCTCTCTCTCTCTCCCATTTTCCTGGTAATGTGCCATGATTTGATTTTCACAAACTCTCTTTCTTTTGCTAATTTGCTGCTTGTAGAGACTGCCTTTGGCGTCAACAGAAACTAACACACGATAATTTCTAATTAATGGGATTCGCAATGAAAAGCTTACAGTCAGTATAAGTCGCCACACAGACATTTCTGTAAGGTACACTGGTCCCTTTCACATGTCTGTCTAATGCTTTGATCCATGCACACTAAACATATCAGGATGTCCGCGGGGAAACCTGCGCTAGATGGACGGATACAAAAAAAACATAGAACACCGGTATTTATGCCTTACTAAATTTGCGCATTATCGCGTATTCGGATAGAACGTTGAGTTTAATTATCGTTTTTCGAACCTAAAATAGACATCTCCAGCTCTAGGCTCTGTAGTTAGTGTCATCAAAGATGAAACATAATGCGTCGAACTGATGATGGTAGACATATTGGAATAATAGTCGTCGGTCTGGTGTGCTTTCTACATACAATGCATACCTGTACAGGTGTCGGATTCGAACCCCGAACATCGACCTCTGTCTTATCAATACTAGTCAACCCAGTTTTATCCTTTTTATTCTTATCCTTGTTTTAACGTTTAGAAGATTCTATTTATCACATAATCAGCATGTTATCCAGTGAATTCGACCATGTAATAATGTTGTATATGTCACTCTTGTAATATACCCTGGGACGTTTTTCATTAGCTTGGACATTCAGTAATTAACTGTCCTGTCAATAATATCGACAATGACGTTACGTCATGAACTGAAAACGGCGCAACAAAATGGCGGTCTCCGTTTGATTTTGTCTTTCACGTTTTTACTGTTGGACTAGTAAAATTGTAACTTTTCCGGGCTATGCGATATGAAGTTATCTTTTTTATTTCTTTTTTTTTTTGATATTATGAAGCTAATCTTGAAGTTTTGATTTTCACACGTTTTTACTCGTTTAATAAAATCTTATAGGAATTGAAAACTTATTTGTTTACGATCCGATATATCCCTTGTTTTATGTGTAGATAACCTTCTAATGAACGTCACCATTACAATGACGTCACTGATCTCATTGTGACTACTATATTTTACACATAACTTTTTTTATCTACCTATGTATCACTATTTTACCTATATAACAGAATTTCATGATAGTAAAAAGCGAGCGAAATATTATCAATCACCAATGTGTGATGCAGACAGATAAATGAAATATGTAACTCTAAAACCTAGTGTTATGTTTCAAGATAATTTTGGATGAGATCTGTCTTTCCACATCACAAAAGGGTGAGAGATTCAAGAGATTCCGTTTGAAACTCTCCTATGGGATTAAAATTACCTTTCCAGTTCACGAGAATTGTTAGCAGTACATAGTTTCTCGGTGTAGCCATGGGGGATATTTTTGTTCATTAGATTTCCCATTATAAAAATTTTAATTAAGACTTAAAAAATAAATCCTTGCTAAAATTGGCCATGTCATGTTGAAATGGACAATGTGGGGTTTCATTTTTTGTCAGAATACTATTTTAGTTTTATGTTGGAGATTACTATTTGGGCAGTCTCGAATTTGTGTCTACGCACCAAAAACTAGCTTTACAGGAAGCAAAATTTTCATAGCGAAAAATATCCAAGTTGGAGTTTGTTGAATTGTAAGTAGTTTGTCATCATGACAGTGTTGATTTTAAGATAGGTCTTCAGAAATAGAATTCTTCTATAAAGTTGTAGTGTTAGGTTGGAATTAGCAGTATTTTTGCATTTTTAGCATTTTTTCAGTTGGTAATAATGGCAATCACATGTCAGAAACCAGAGGAATTTTTTTATTTACAAAAATTTTATCTCTCTACTATTAATGTAATGTAGTTTATAAACATATATACATGCTTTGATGTATTTTTCATAACCAAACTGCTATACCTGTATATCTCAAACATGACCAATACTTTCAGGAAAAATGCAAAAGAAGTGTTTCCTGCAACCATTGGAAGGATGATGTTTTTGTCAGGGGTTTCTGTACTATAACCTGTTTCATCATTTTGATAATGCAATAATATATTGAAGTGTCATTGAAAAGACAAAAAACGAACTGGTGCCAGGAGCGTGATATCAGTAAATAACACGACTACTAAAAACTAAAGTCTTTTACGATAGGAAACAATAATGAGTATTTAAGCAATCGTATAAAGGTGTTTTATGGCTTAGAGACTAGTTGATACATCAGGTCTTTTTAAAGTCAGTGTTCGCGTAAGAGAACCACTATACCATGTTAAGGTTACATATTTGTATTGGGGTTCGGAAGTGTTACGATAACGAGAAACGTACCAATAATCATCATGGTTAGTGGTAAGGCGATGAACAAACCCAACAGCACCGTGACAGGCCCTGAAACAAAATTAAAAGTAATTAGCGGATGACGAGAGGGAAGAGGGGTGACGTAGTTAGTAAGTCAGGTTTAGGAGTAGAAAAATAAACATGATGGCCGAGTTTTGAAAAGATATAGAGAAGACAGGACTAGAAAAGTAAATGGTCGAATAAAGGTTGTGTTAGGATCATGTGTAGAAGGGAGAGGGTTGTTAGGGCCGTGTGCAGTAGGGGAAGCCGGTTAGGATCATGTGTAGAAGGGAGAGGGTTGTTAAGGTCGTGTGCAGGAGGGAAGCCGGTTAGGATCATGTGTAGAAGGGAGAGGGTTGTTAGGACCGTGTGCAGGAGGGAAGCCGGTTAGGATCATGTGTAGAAGGGAGAGTGTTGTTAGGGCCGTGTGCAGGAGGGAAGCCGGTTAGGGTCGTGTGCAGGAGGGAAGCCGGTTAGGGTCGTGTGCAGGAGGGAAGCCGGTTAGGATCATGTGTAGAAGGGAGAGGGTTGTTAGGGCCGTGTGCAGGAGGGAAGCCGGTTAGGATCATGTGTAGAAGGGAGAGGGTTGTTAAGGCCGTGTGCAGAAGGGATAAAGGTTCTGTGTAGAAGGGAGAGAGGACCAAGAAGTTATATTATAGATCTGTTTGTCTTTCAATATTTGTGCGAAAACACAGGATATATATTGGGTGTAAATACTAGATATAGGTATAACATTGTACGTGAATTCATTTTGTTGCGACTCAAAGCATTCCTCCGTTAGCGTCCGTTTCTTTCTAGCTCATTTGGAAACTTAGAAACAGCGAAGTGCTGGTGCTCACACGACTAACACATCACATCGTTAAGGGAGCGGGGCTAATGAATGTGTCTCAGTGCAAGCTTGTGGAACTGTGAAAATATCCAGGGCAATAAAAATCATGTCGTAGTCGCTACCTCCGGCTTGTGTTTATATTCTAAGGAAGTCGGTTTAAGAATGATGTCTCCATGGCCCCGTCTCCGTTAGCACTGAGGCAAACTCATCGTCCGTGACAAAGCTTAATCGACCAAGCAAACGGTTGAGTCACATTTCATGTATTTAGACATTATTAAAGAAGCACTGTCACCTTAGAACAGACAAATCCAATTCTCGCAATCAACTCGTGAATGGAATAATTTTAGAAATTTAAATTCTGGAATTGACGTAACATCCTGGTGTGTTTTGTGCTCAGAATTCTCTGGATAAAACATGCTAGAGAAGTCGTTCTATTTCTCTCACGAAACACTGCTATTATTCCCGACTGTGGAGAACTTCTATCTTGCAGACCATGAACGATCAGAACAACTCTTATGTAGGTGCCAGGAAGTATTAATCCAATCAAAGCACGTTGAAGAATGAGTTTCCGGTTCCTGTCTCCAGGAGATAAATAATAGTCGGAGACAAGCTAGTCGTTATAGATATAGACTTACACGTATAAAAGTTCAGAGAGTTGTTTTATCTCTGTTGACAGACATCAGCTATTTATTACAATAACGTTTATCGGCATGTTTGTTCTTGCCAAGCAACGTTGTTTATCAGATTGATAGTTCTCTTCTTTAATCATTTTTGTCGAAAGTTACCTGTATTCAGCATTAAGGTACACCGTAACAAATCAATATCTTCAGCACAAATTTACTGTATCACCAAGGTAACGAGTTATATATGTATCACCAAGGTAACGAGTTATATATGTATCACCAAGGTAACAAGATATATATGTATCACCGAGGTAACGAGTTATATATGTATCACCAAGGTAACAAGATATATATGTATCACCAAGGTAACGAGTTATATATGTATCACCAAGGTAATGAGTTATATATGTATCACAAAGGTAATGAGTTATATATGTATCACCGAGGTAACGAGTTATATATGTATCACCAAGGTAATGAGTTATATATGTATCACCGAGGTAATGAGTTATATATGTATCACCAAGGTAATGAGTTATATATGTATCACCAAGGTAATGAGTTATATATGTATCACCGAGGTAATGAGTTATATATGTATCACCAAGGTAATGAGTTATATATGTATCACCGAGGTAATGAGTTATATATGTATCACCAAGGTAATGAGTTATATATGTATCACCGAGGTAATGAGTTATATATGTATCACCAAGGTAATGAGTTATATATGTATCACCGAGGTAATGAGTTATATATGTATCACCAAGGTAATGAGTTATATATGTATCACAAAGGTAATGAGTTATATATGTATCACAAAGGTAACGAGTTATATATGTATCGCCATGGTAACGAGTTATATATGTATCACCAAGGCAATGAGTTATATATGTATCACCAAGGTAACGAGTTATATACGTATCACCAAGGCAATGAGTTATATATTTATCACCGAGGTAACGAGTTATATACGTATCACCAAGGCAATGAGTTATATATGTATCACAAAGGTAACAAGATATATATGTATCACCAAGGTAACGAGTTATATATGTATCACAAAGGTAACAAGATATATATCTATCACCAAGGTAATGAGTTATATATGTATCACAAAAGTAATGAGTTATATATGTATCACCAAGGTAATGAGTTAAATATATATCACCAAGGTAATGGGTTATATATGTAACACCAAGGTAACGAACGGGTTACAAATGTATCACAAAGTAAAGGGTTATATATGTATCACCAAGGTAACAAGATATATATGTATCACAAAGGTAATGAGTTATATATGTATCACAAAGGTAATGAGTTATATATGTATCACAAAGGTAACGAGTTAAATATATATCGCCAAGGTAATGAGTTATGTATGTATCACCAAGGTAATGAGTTAAATATATATCACCAAGGTAATGGGTTATATATGTAACACCAAGGTAACGAACGGCTTACAAATGTATCACAAAGTGCTGGGTTATATATGTATAATTCAATCATAAGTTTTTCTTTTCAGGTTCCGTGAAAATAAACTGATAACGGGAAAAATAGTAATAACCATAACATATATATCGATATATTTAAATTCAAATGGCTTACAGCTTCCACTGATGATGACGAAGGCACGATAGACGAAGTCACAGGCTCCAACCGACTCGTGTGAGGCCTCACATATAGTGCTGACGAAAGAGAAAGCGTGGTCTGGTTCAACTGTGTCCTTCCATAGCACCACGCTGCCATAGTACTGCTTGTTTTCGCTTGGAGCCAGACTCGGCTGTAAGAAAGAGACAGAATATTTTATTGTCAATTAATTCATAAACAGAACGGCGATATTTTCTTGTATCTTCTCAGAGCATGACGTTTATTTGACTGTGGATTTATGTCCTTTTAACAGCCATGTTCATTTGAGGACGTGCCTGGTTTGGATGTTGGAGAAGAATTCTACCGACCTAAGACCGGCATTCGGCGATTGCCCCATGTACATGTGTAGGTCTCGAACCCGTGACCCAGACTTGGAGGGCTAGTGATTAAGACATCCAGACGCCTTACCCACTTGGCCACCGCGACTCCATCAGAGCATGATAGCCGATGGTTTCCAATTAATGAATTAGAATATTTACGATGTAATCATCATCAATGTTGATGTAGGTTCATATTTAACAAACCGTGAAATGTGACTTGTGATGGTTCAGTGAACAGTGTGGTATATACCCTATACATTAGACAATTGAATTGTCAAAAAAAAAAAAAAAAACTACACACACACACAAAGGACAATCAAATCATCAGTGTTTCTACAACATAATCATGTGATCTTTTTAATGTTGATCATGCATACAAGTAAATTTGATTTAACAGCAGCTTTGGGTACATTACTTATCAAATAATTAATTAAGCTTCAGCGTACAGCTTTTTCTCTCGATTTTCTAGGACTCGTGTTGATACTAAATGCTTTCGAAGGGGAATACTTAGGAGATCAAAATTGGAAATAAATGTAAAGAAGAAAATAGAGATGGTTATGAATAAATGCCAGGTACATTTGTACATTATATACTGTGTCACTTTTCACATGTATAAAAACGTGACATTCCCGAATGGAATCGACAAATCGATTTAGATAGGTCTTTTTAATACCTGCCAATAAATGTGAGAGAGAATATGACCCCTTTGTATTTATCCATTACATAGAAATAATCCTCGTTAATGGTATTATTATACTGTGTATCATATATCCTGATATCGCCAAGTTATTGATATGAGATTCTGACCGATTCTGATTGGTCCATTTCGTTAGTCACGTGTCTCTCTTATGTTCATATAGATGGCCGCTTAACCTTCAACCAGTCTCTACGTTGAACGATCCGTTGAAATTATCGCGATCGAGTTTGTATACAAATATTCCACCAACAACCTTTGTTTATGCCCTATTAATTTATCCGGGTGTATTACGACCTGTTTGCGGCTCATTACAACAATGTGTTTCTTCATTTTTTAAGTTCTCATTGTTCTTTCATACATCTAAGTTGTCTGTCTACCCTTTAGAATGCCCAGATACCTATATCTATATTTCTGTTGCAGCAACAGAAGAAGATACTCTGTTACTGGTTCTTGTTATAATGTTTTATGACAATTTGATCAAACTGATATTTGTCGAACCTCTTCCTTTAGACACCAAACTTATAATAAAAGAAATGATGAGACTGAAAGTTAGTGTTAATTCGTGTCTATTTTCCTGTAGACCAATGACTCCATAAAAAGCTGTCGAAGGTGTTCACGATACTTTCACTTCCTCGCATTTGAATTTGACGCTGCTTGTGAAATCTCAAGTGTCAAATACTGTTATACTACTATTTTCGTTTTTTGATTATTTCTTATCTGTCGTCAATTGTGAATGTGTTTTCCGTTTTGTATGTGTGTCTGCATTATATGGAGTGTTGTGACGATTGGTGTTAGCTCCAAATGTCCTAAAATAAAAAAAAAATCGTACATAGTTAATACATAAGCATGAAAGTGAACTCGAATTGACTTTTCGAGTTAATTGTCATCTCGTCCATTTTACACCTTGATATATGCATCATGTACGCCCGCTTTTCATACTAGTCACAGAATTTACACCTATAGATACTCAATTGTTTATACCAATATTAACTAGCGCCTACAAATTTGTTATACAACCTGGAGATGTTCCGAAATATTCGATTTACGAGTTTTAGAGTTCATCCTTAATTCATATTATTTTTCATATGTGACATTAGCTGTACCTTATAAACCTTTATCGTAAAAATCTACCAGATTTAACGGTATAAGATATATAAAACTAAATCATAAAAATCATACCATTTAAAGCTATACCATGTAAAATTTAACTAGAATTCCATACTTTTTTAATATCTATTCCATACAGAAATGTACCGAATATGATACGTTACTAAATCTTAAAAAAAAGGGGGGGGGAGGGGGAAGAAATGAAGATAAGAAAGAAAATTATAGAAAAAAAGTAAAGAAAGGCTGGGCCTATATTGTTCGTTCTATATCTGGAGTCTTGTTTCATCTTGGCAAATAACAAAACCGTTTTAGACAGCATCATATATCTTTGTTCCTATCTGCGGAAATTAATTTTGTAAAACTGAATAATACTAAAAGAAACTATAGTTTGAAGAAACGAGAAGACACTAAACAGTCTCTCACTTAATTACACACGTTAACTGGTCTTTAAACGAGCCTGCAAATGGAATCTATGCTTTATGGTCCCCTTAAAGCAAAGATAAAAATGATTATCAAAAGAATTCCGCGAAAAGCAAACTGTATCCTTTTTATTACCTACATTCACTGTTATGAAATTCGACAAAAACTTCAGTCGGAGCGCGATTAGTCTGGCCTATTCGCCAAATATAAAAATAATCATATTTAAAATCTGGTTAATACGTCATGTAGTTCTTCAGATGATCGCGATATAAAGCAATATAACCACGATAAAACTAGATTTCACGTCGCGTTCGAATCCTTCATTAGATAATTAAGGCGACATATTCCTCTTCAGCAGGAAGAGCGTCGCCGTACATGACATAGGCTGGTAGTGTTATATAAAGGTCATTTAAACGGACTCAAAATCCAAGCGAATGATCTGCGTAACCCAATCAAACTGAGAAGGAGATCGACATTCCAATGAGACGTACATGTGTAATACTAGTACTCATCAAAATTGAAATTGTCTCTTGGTTCCACATGAGTGTAAGAAGGGGGGAAAATCCTATTAATTCTCAGTTGTCAACACGGAGAGAAGTGCGTTCAGCTAACAGTAATGTGACTTAATGTTCAATTTAAAGACGTCAAAGTCCCCACAATTTAATCAGGCCCGCTCAAATTGAGGTTGTGCAGCTTCCCTGTAGCTTCTACCGTGGCAAACGATATTACGGGGACCCTGCAGGTAATGATCATTATTGATTGGTAGGCAAAGTCATAACTAAAGTAGATATATCGTAATGGTTGATGGGGACTGTAAAGGGCTTTTTCAGGGGTTGACGATAGGTATATAACTTGAGAAGGTGGGGTGGGGGGGGGGGGGGGGGGGTACATGATAAAGACTTCGTGGCCGGTGAGTGCTTTATCAGAGCCTAACGATGGATGTATGACTTGAGAGGTGTAAGAGTACACTATGAAACTTCGGGGCCGGCGAGTGCTTTATCAGGGCCTAACGAATTATGTATGTCTTGAGAGGTGTAAGAGTACACTATGAAACTTCGGGGCCGGTGAGTGCTTTATCAGGGCCTAACGAATTATGTATGTCTTGAGAGGAGTAAGAGTAGATGATAAATAATAATGAGTTGATAGTGGTTGATGGGGAGTTAAGTGGTCAGTGAATTCTTGATCGAGGCTGAGGATTAGTCGGCCGTACACAATGGTTTTACACGCTGATCTTTACGGGCTACCGTACCTTACATTGAATTTTGACTTACACACTGATCTTTACGGTCTACCGTACTTTACATTGATGTTTGACTTACATGCTGATCTCTACGGGCTACCGTACCTTACATTGATGTTTGACTTACATGCTGATCTCTACGGGCTACCGTACCTCATATTGATGTTTGACTTACAAGCTGATTTTTACAGACTACCGTACCTCACATTGATGTTTGACATACAAGCTGATCTTTACGGACTACCGTGCCTTACATTGATGTTTGACTTACACGCTGATTTTTACGGGCTACCGTTCCTTACATTGATGTTTGACTTACACGCTGATCATTACGGGCTACCATACCTTACATTGATGTTTGACTTACACGCTGAGCTTTACGGGCTACCGTTCCTTACATTGATGTTTGACTTACACGCTGATCTTTACGGGCTACCATACCTTACATTGATATTTGACTTACACGCTGAGCTTTACGGGCTACCGTACCTCATATTGATGTTTGACTTACAAGCTGATTTTTACAGACTACCGTACCTCACATTGATGTTTGACATACAAGCTGATCTTTACGGACTACCGTGCCTTACATTGATGTTTGACTTACACGCTGATTTTTACGGGCTACCGTTCCTTACATTGATGTTTGACTTACACGCTGATCATTACGGGCTACCATACCTTACATTGATGTTTGACTTACACGCTGAGCTTTACGGGCTACCGTTCCTTACATTGATGTTTGACTTACACGCTGATCTTTACGGGCTACCATACCTTACATTGATATTTGACTTACACGCTGAGCTTTACGGGCTACCGTTCCTTACATTGATGTTTGACTTACACGCTGAGCTTTACGGGCTACCGTGCCTTATATTGATGTTTGACTTACACGCTGATCTTTACGGGCTACCATACCTTACATTGATGTTTGACTTACACGTTGAGCTTTACGGGCTACCGTGCCTTACATTGATGTTTGACTTACACGCTGATCTTTACGGGCTACCGTTCCTTACATTGATGTTTGACTTACACGCTGATCTTTACGGGCTACCATTCCCTACATTGATGTTTGACTTACACGCTGATTTTTACGGGCTACCGTTCCTTACATTGATGTTTGACTTACACGCTGAGCTTTACGGGCTACCGTACATTACATTGATGTTTGGCTTACACGCTGATCTTTACGGGCTACCGTACATTACATTGATGTTTGACTTACACGCTGAGCTTTACGGGCTACCGTGCCTTACATTGATGTTTGACTTACACGCTGATTTTTACGGGCTACCGTTCCTTACATTGATGTTTGACTTACACGCTGATCATTACGGGCTACC